GCCAGTGTGTGTGCTTGTGTGCAGCCCTGTCCCGACAGTGTGCCAGTGTGTGTGCTTGTGTGCAGCCCTGTCCCGACAGTGTGCCAGTGTGTGTGTGCATGCTTGTGTACAGCCCATTGTGCAGGCCAGTGAGCCGGGTTTGCTGTTGGGAAAGTGGGTTGTCTGCAATTTGTTCCCGTAACAATGTCTCCTGCCAGATGCTCCCCTGATCCAGCTCTGCCTGGGGGAGGGGCAGTACAGTTCTTCTGGTCACCTGTCATCTTTGGTGGACTGTCACCAACCAGAAAGCATGTGTGTCACATCTCTAGAAAGAAACAGTTCAATTCCTAGTGTATACTTTTGACTTTAACTTTTATAGTAAAAATAAGAATTCACGCTGACTTCCCATGTGACCATTCTGATTTTACAGGATACAAGCTAAGCACTGTGTTTTTTCTGTAGCAATGTGTCATTTAGTGCTTTTGTAAAATGAGTAAAATTTGAGGTGTTTGGCAAGAATCATCATTACTGCATTGTCCACTTTAATGTGACTACTGTCATCCGGTGATTGTTACTTCGGTCTTTTGAGATCAAAGGCCCTTGTGGGGCCAGCTCCGTAAACCGCTCGGGCTGGCTTCCCCTTCCTGCTCCTTTGAGCAGGAGTGCTCACTGCAGGCAGCATGCCGAGTGCACTCGGTGAGGTTTGTTATCAGCTGGCCTGGTTGAAGAAGGCAATTGGACAAATACAGAAGCAAAATACTCTCGGGGCTGGAGAGATGGTTAAGAGTACTTGCTGTTCTTGAGGAGGACCCTGGTTGATTCCTAGCACTGACTCCATCTTCAGGGCCTCCTCAGGCACCCATATGGTGCACATATATGCATGTAAACAAACACAAAAGACCCAGAAGGCAGGCAGACTGCTTTGTGTCTCAGCCCACAAACTTGAGCAGATGTGCGATCCTCCCTCGGATGATGGTGGGTCTGGCGCATCATTGGGAGGCTGCCTTCTCCTTCCTCACCCACGGGAAAGCAGCGCCTACCTGAGCAACAGAACCTAGCATGTCTCCTCTGAATAGGCTGTGTTGGGCCATGAGATACAGTGAGCTCTCTGGCTTGCTAGGATTTCACTTTCCTCTAAGCCTCAAAATGGGGAGCTCTTCCTTGAACCCAAGCTTTCTTTGGGGCTTAATCTTGGAACAGAGAGATTTCAGAGTAACCAAGACAAGTATGAGCTGGGACCAAGAGCCAGACCTGATCCCTCTAACAGTAACAAAGCCCCAAGTATTTAATTACATCTTAATTGTTGCCATTTTTTCTTAAAGGACCAGAAAGTAAAATGTTAACATCGAAGACTAGGAGTGATAACACCTTTCCAAATAGACACTTCTATTTTTATTTCAATTGTAAAAAATAATTCCAAACAAGAGTCACCACCAACCCCATGACAACTCACCAGGCAAGGCCCTGCTCCCTTCTCCCCCCTCTTTGAAGTCCCTTGTGCCTAATCAGCAGCCTGGGGGAAGCACCCTGAGCTAATGCTAGCTTTCCCAAAGGGGGAGTTACACATGATGGGGGAGACTTGGCAAGGCTCGCCATCATTGGAAACTGCCTGAAGCCAACTGAAATAGTCCAGTCCAAAACTCCCAACCCTTCCTCTAACAGTCTCTACAGGTGACACTTTGGCTTGGGGCAGGGGAGGAGAGAGTGGGACCCGAGCAGCCTGGGGGCTTGCCTAGTTTCTCCTGGAACAAAGATAATCTGCTGTCTGTTAGGCTTATACTGTGGCAGGTCGGAGGCTGGATCTGTTAGTGCATTTAGTGCCTGTTGAGAAGGGTGGCCGAGCCTGGGATACTGAAGTCCATGAGAGCCCACCTCCCCCGTCACCTTCTGCTGAATAAGGGGCGTGGGAGGAGGATGCCCCACTGCTGGTTCTTGGCAGCTCTTCTGTGACCTCATGGGCCTCTTCCTCAGGAGTGCCAGAGAGCTTGAGTCCGGTAGGATCGAGGGTGACCCTGCGCTAAGACCCAGCCACAGCTGAGGCCACAGCGTAGCTGACCTAAGAGTAGCCCCCAGCCATCTGACTCGTGGCCGCATTGCTGCCCACTCCTCGCCAGGCCTGGAAGCTGAAGAAAGCACTCACTCCATAGGCAATCATCACCAGGCAGGCGAAAAACTGCAGGGGAGAAGAGAAGAGGCCCCGGGGTGGGTCAGAGGGCGCAAGGGGGCCGTGTGGGGACAGTGACGGCAGACCAAGAGGGTCTCCTTAGGTGGACTTGGGGGTAAAAGCTTGAGCAGCAGCCCCTTGAGTTAATCAGCCCTTGTTCTGGCAGCCACACCTACCACAGAGCTGGCATTATGGTCCAAGGGTCGGGGGACAACCACAGGCCAGACATGTCAGGCGGTACCCAGGCAGCCAAGAGCCTCCATCTGCTCGGTGTGATAGCACTGACCATGGGGTAACCTCGCACACCTAACAGGGACGGAACGCCCGCAGGGAACATTCAGGGCTGGGGATGTGGCCCAGCCTCACAAGGCCCTGTGGTTCTAGGACCAGAATTGAAAACAACAATAGAACAATAAGTAATAATACTCAAAAGGACTTTTCTGAGCCATTTTATGCAAATGTGTGTTTTCTGCAGCTTAGGTCTCAGTTCCCGAGAGGGAATTCACTAGTTTTAAAACCTCTCTTACTAGGAAGAAGGAAGACACGCAGGGTTGCCCTGTCCTGCACATGAACACAACTCCAGTTTCCTTGTCTGAAAAAGAACCCATAGCTCTAACTCTAGGGCAGAGTATACAGGGCCTTGAGGGTGGAGTGTGGATGGCCATTTGACACAGCCCAAGCTCGGGCTTTTTGTAAGAGAATACAAGTCAAAAATGCAGATAGAATGTGGTGATTAATAGCCACCCCAGGGTGACGTAAGGGTGGCACAGCAGAGGTCCACAGTGGTCCCAAGTGTTTAGGTCCCCCGGGTTCTGCTGTTCACTAAGGAAGACTGAGTGAGGCTGAGCCCACTGAGCGTCCAGTGACCACTCAGGAACCTGTGAGCACACAGAGGCCTGGACCGGTGGATCCCCTGCAGAAGGCTAGAGCCCTGGGAACAGACTTACCGAGGCAGCTGAGCGCTGGTTATATGGTCGGGAGCCCTTCAGGGACGTCAGGTCGACCGCGGCAGCGCACGAGATAAAGGCGGTAATATAGAGAACCGTGGCAGCGACAAAAAAGATCATTAACTGTAGGTGGAGGGGAGAGAGGCTGTAAAACATCCACAGGGACCATCACCACCCCTGAAGCTGAGTCAGAAACCCCTGCACGAAGGCCTGGAGTGCCAGGCTGCCAGGCAACCTCTAACCAGCTAAGGAAATGCAAGCCACTCCATGTGTGGCACGTGGACATACTCACACCCTCCCTATGACCACCTCAGCACCTGGCCTTGTGGCTGGCCCTAGGATGGGGCCTCACATCCCTCTCCCCACCAGTGGGAGAAATCCAAGACTCCTTTTGGCATTACCCTAAACTTGAGGCAAATCCCAGGGCCAGGACCTCAGGGAATCTGTATACAACATCAGGAAGACTGGATGTGAACCCTCAGGTGGCAGCTGGGCCCATTCCATACCCCCAGTTCATTCATTGTGCTATACATTTTTTCTTTAATTGCCAACATTTAAAAATTAAATTTCACATGAAAACTTAAAAATGTTTATATTAAAAATGTTCGATGCTTCTGAGCATGATGGCACACACCTGTCAACCCAGCACTAGGGAGGTATGGGCAGGCAGATCTCTTGAGTCTGAGGTCACGCTGGTGTACAGGGCAAATTCTAGGACAGCCAGGGCTACAAAGAAACCCTGTCTCAAAAAACCAAACCAAATCAAAATATTCAAAGCTGGGCATAGTAACTTAGGGGCGCCAACCTGTCCAGACACAGAGGCAGGAAGGCCATGAATTGCAGGGGTCAGCCCAGTCTACACATCAAAACTGTTTCCAAAAAGAAATAACCAACCTCAGGGAGGGGCGTGTATCTCCCTGGTAAAGCATTTGTGAGGCCCTGAGTTTAACCCTCTAGCACCACCAAAACAACAAACAAAATACCTCGAGGCTTGGCACCAATACTGCATCCCCTCAAGGCTGAAGCTGGACAGAGGCAGCTCCTCAGGGCCAGGTACATGCAAGGTTTCTGGAACCTTCCTGGCCCAGTTCACTAGTTCATCTTGCCTGGCCCTTTGAAGATTTGGCAGTCTCTGTCCCGGAGGAGTTGAGGTGTCACCCCCCAGCTCCCCTCCCAGCTCAGCCCTCCCTGCTGCCCTGCTGGTAAGAGTCCGAAAGCACAGATACAGAACCCAACTGGCCTCCTTCATGGAACGCTGTGCAGGAACCCATCCTGGCCTCAGAGACACGTCTCCCCCCCTGCAGGACTCTGCGTTAGGGGCCCGGGGATATTCAGAGGGGGCTAAACCCTTATCCAGGAGTCCAGCCGCCACCTCCTCAATCCCAAATCGTGTCCCCACGGACAGTGACCACCGCACACGCTGCCTGGCTCTGGCCAGTAACACAAGATCTAACAAACCCATTCTGTCTCAGCATGACTCACATTTCCTCTGATTAAACAGGCATTGAACTGTAAACAATCACTGCCTAGTCCCAGTCTC